TCAGAGCCTGGGGGAGGCGATCCTCCTCGGATGGCTTTTCTATCAGCTCCACTTTCCAGGTGAAAAACGGGGAGAGGAGCAGCCCGAGCTCAGCTTTACTGCCCGACGGGCAACACAGAAAGGGAGCGACGGCTCCTTCGCTGCTGGCTTCTTTGAGAAGTTAAATCCCAGAGGTGCAGGACGGGGCCCCGGCGGATGTCACAAAAACACAGCGAGGTCATTTTGTGGCGAGTACTGAACCGAGACCCAGAACAATGAGGCGGGAAGAGAAGCCCATTTCGGCTCCCGCCGCAGCCGCCGGGGCAGGCTGTGCAGACTCGGGCTGCTCAGAGGGTCAGCAACACGCCGGGCTGCGCCTCGGGAGAGCGAGCGAGTCCCGGCTGCTCGGATCCGACACGGCCGCGCTCAGCTCCAAATCCTAAACTTGGTGCCGGCGTGGCTGCCGTGATCCACAAGGCGGAGCCTCGCAGGCTTCTAGGTAAAATGAAAGCCAGCTCCCCGGGAATTGAGGCACCAGCCACCCCGGCCAGACCTGGCTCTAAAGCCCAGGAGGCTCCACAGGCTCCCCGCTGCCTCGGCCTCTCCTCTCTTCCCCACCTCGCCTCCACCTGGCGCCCTCTTGGAAAAGCCTGGCGCCGGGCTGGCAGTGTAGCTCGCTTGCATCCATAGAAGCAAACAAAAACCCAAAAGACCCGATTCAAATCCATGGCTGTTTAAAAACCCACAGCCTGGGGCTCCGGGAGCTTAGCTGTGCTTGGCTTTCAGTTCCGATGAAATGCAAGCGTCCATCCGAGCAGGGGCAGCAAGTCTTGCTTTCCCTTTCTGCTCCAAGGGAGGCTGCATTCGCACTTGTAAAGGAAGCATTTCCTTGGGAGAGAGTGAAATCAGATCACTTAAAGGCGCACCCCACAAAGCTCTGGCCATGGTCATTACAAAGTAAAATAAGGCCCCTCGCCCACCCCCGGCGATCCGTCCCGGATGCCCATTCAAATGCACCAAAGCTCCCTGGGCCAGACTTCTCCCAGGAGGAGGCAAAATCCCTGAAACGTACCAGCCTCTGGAATTTTCCATAATAGTTCTTGAGCGCGGGTAGCTGATGTTGGCTGTACAGTGTTACTACTGCTCGGCCAACACATGGAGCTACAGCACTCCAGATTTCTTCCCCCAGAGGAAGGCTGCTTACTCCTCTCGGGCTTAGCCTGTGAGCTCTAAGGAGCACCTTGCAGCACGAAAGGTACCTCGCAGCTGGGAAGGTAGTGCAGTCACAGCACGCACAAGTGCAAGGCTCTGGGTTTGTCCCCGGACACAAAGCAAAACAAAACTAAACAAATGTACTTTTCTGCTAAGGGAAAAATAGAATCGACCGAGGAGCTGGGACTCCTCTAATTATGGAACCCGCAGGCAGGCCGGTGGCCGCAGGGTCGGAGGGGCTCCCGGAAGCCTGAATGGGAAACAAGGCCCCGAAGCCGGGGCTCTCGGGCAGGCGCCGTCACCAAGCAACGCACTAGTCCTGGGGCCAGAGCACAGATTCCGCCGCAGCCTGTCGCTGCTCGCCGGGGAATTTTTCCAGCACTGCTGTGCCAAGCCAGCCACTCCCCGGATTCAGCCGAGGCCTGGTGTGTGCCTGAGTCCGGGACACCGCCAAGGGCCCTGCTTATTCTGAAGCCCCTAACACCCCTCCCGGGAAGTAGGCAGGGCGATGTCTCGGCCGCCAGGTGACCCACAGCAGGAAGGAGTGTGGTGAAGGGCAAACCTCCGCACCCATCTCCACGCCCACCCGTGAGAGGAGGAAAAGCAGGGGAAAGTGAGGAAAGGGTGAGGGAGGGAAACCCTGCCGTTTCCGTAAGGAGGAGGAAGGGAAGGGCAAGTACTATGCTCTTTTTTTTTTTTTTTTTTTTTTTTTTT